CCCCCCCCCCCCCCCCCCCCCCCCAGGCTGTTATTATTGTCTCGCTGAAAGATGGCAGGAACATGAGTCACAGCACCAGACTAAAACTGATCCGAGTCATAAAAACCAGAACCGCAGGCCCGCTGGTTCCTGCTGCAGACCTGGGCGTGGCTTCCTGGACGGATCAGGGACAATCCGTCTTAATGCCGGAGACAAAGAYGGTCTCTGATCCTCGGAGACGTCAGGGACAATAAACCACCAGCAGGTGTTCTGAGTGGTCCTGGACTGAAGATTCCTCACGGGTCTGGGGTGTCCTGGGGGGTCGGGGGGGTGGACTGTTGTGACCCGTCTCCAGGGGACAGAGTCCTCCGTCCTCAGTTTACAAGCTGCAGTCATGTGGAGCTTTTTTTAAACATGGCTCCGGACTCGAACCTTTTACCTACTTTCACCTCCTGGCTCAAAGGCACCGCTGAGGACTGAAGRTGGACTCAGACGGGTCGGGTTTCAAACGGGTCGGGTCTTTTAATCGGGACGTTTGGGTTCTGAACAGACAGGAAGTTCCTCTGGTCCTGACTTTGATCTGAACAAAATGCAAATGAGTCCAACTGAAGCCGGATCCAGGATCACCGGTTCTACAAGCAGGAACTGAGGGATTAACAAAGACCAGGACCAGATCCAGGACCAGGTCCAGGACAGGTGCAGCCAGACCAGGTTTTGCATAAACTGATAAAAAGTCAAACTCGTCCTGTTCAGCAGGAAGATGGTCAACAGGTAGTTCACCCTGAAGGTCAGACTGTGTAAAGAGCTCCACCTCAGAATAAAGGTTGAAAACAGGTGCAGTAAGACCAGGACCAGATCCAGGACCAGGAGACACTTTTAACTTCCTGCTGCTAAAGAAACAAATAAGACCAGGAGTCCAGGACCAGGTGATCAGGACCAGGTGTCTTCAGGGGGCGTGGCCTGCAGCGTCCTCAGACTGGAGGATGTTCGATCAGGTCTGACAACATTCTGCTCTCAGACGTTCGGAGGCTCCACTGGTTTCTGTCTCCACGTGGAGCCGGACTGGGGGGACAGGTGAGCTCACCTGAGGGCGTGTCCCCGGTGAGACGGAGACGCCTCAGGTGTGTCTGAGGACTTTAAAGCTGCATACCTGAGAGGCTGATGAACAGGTGGAGTCACCGGAAAAACAAACAGAACCTGAAGAGTCTGAACCTGAACCTGGACCTGGACCTGGACCTGGACCGTCTGAAACAGAACTGCAGCGGTCCTCTCAGCACTTACAGGGTTAACTTCCACAGCAGAGGAGGAAGAGGAGGGGGGAGGAAGAGGAGGAGTGTTCGCCATGAGCACACAGACGGCAGCAGAGACACGGACCAGGACCAGGACCAGGACCAGAACCAGGACCTGTCTTACCTTCCTTCCTGTGGATCCTCCACCTCCAGACCAGGATCAGGGTAACAACGTGACCCACGACCACCAGGGTCGGGAACACAGATCCAGGGGGCCCGGTCGGCATCGGGCCTGTTCAGAAGTGGACCGTCCCGAGTGGGGAGGACAGGAACAGCTGAGGGGGGCGGGCGGTGTAAGATTTATCTGCTGCCGTCGGAAAACTTCGACCCCGAAGTTGTAAATCTGTCAAAGGAGTCTAGCCAGCTCAACAGGAAACACAAAGAGGAAAAGGGGGGTGGGGGGTGAAGGGGAGGGGTCAAAGTGGGTAGGGTGTTTTCGGGTGGAGGTGGTTGGTTGGGTGGGTGGTTGGTTGGTYACACTCGTAAGCTACAGCTTTTAAAAGCGATACCCTTTTCAGAGCTGAGATTTGGCGTTGAAGGGGCGTCGGCCATGTCTACAGTCATGAAACCCAATCCCCTGCCACCCTCCCCCACTGATAGACACACGTAAGAGGAAAAAAAGAGAAAGTCTCATGCAGAGAAAGAACTGGGCAGGAAATTAACGTTTTGATGTGTGTGTGTGTGTGTGTGTGTGTGTGTGTGTGTGTGTGTGTG